GAATTAATGCAAGAGGAAAAATTAAACTAATGATTTATGTATTTAACTTAAATGGGAATAAATTAAGCAGTCAAATTAATGGGAAATTCTCTTTTACTTCACACTTATATACTTGTTAGAAGTATTAATTAGGCAAACTGATTATAAAACTTCTGACTGTATTGCATATTTTTACTGATAATTTTCAAAAACTAATATGCATAATTAATATTTGTGAAACTAATTTATACTCCAGTTGCCGTCAGCACATGCACTGGGGTAAAATCCCATCCACATGCAGTCTTTTCTTAGAAAATAAAGGAAGGTCGTACGTGATCTTTCTAGTACTTCCTGTACCTTTCAAGATCAAGGTTAGGAAGGGGTCATCCAGAGGAATTTTTCCAGTGGCCTTGGATTTTGTGTTTTCGGGGAAGGAATGTGAAATGGGATTCTAGCTACCTCGCGCACGTACAAACATTTCACTTCTAGAGAGACATTCATTGAGATGAGTGCGTACGAGCGAGAATAGTAACGACTGTGGGATCTTCTCGCTAGTGTTGAAACTGATAGCGAAATTGAAGATTCCGATTCTGAGTGAAATAATATTTCTGAAAAAACTCACGAAACTTATTCTGAACAGCAATATGATGATTCACATGATTTAGGGAGCATATCTTTGACATGAGATGATTTTTACGTTTGAAAAAGATGGAACAATTTGAAGTAAAAACTACCCTCAAAAAATGTCCGGACACAGCCGCACAATATAGTGACACATTTAAGTGGTATCAAGAAATGTTTTAGAAATTTGAAAAATCCAACTGTTTATTGCAAATTTTTGATGAAGAAATAATGGAAGATTTGGTGAAATCAACAAACATTTACATTTCATGATTAAGAAACAAATTCTCTAGAGAACGTGATGCACAAGAGACAAATGTAGCTGAATTGAAGGCGTTGTTTTTCCTATTATATTATGCCGGAGTGCTGAGAGCAGCACTTCTCAAAGCAAAGATTTGTGGTCAGCTGATGGAAGCGGAATAACTGTTTTTCAAATAACAATGTCTATCTACCGATTCCACTTCTTGTTGAGGTGTATTAGGTTTGATGACATAAATTTACGAGCAGAGCGAAATATGACGGCTTCAATTGCACTTATTAGAAATATTTTTCAAATATTTGTCAAAAACATATGAAAAATATATTCTTTACCTGAATATTGTACTACAGACGAAAAATTAGAACGCTTTCGAGAAAGGTGCCTATTCAGACAATATATAAAAAGTAAGCTCCCAAGAAATTAAATAAAAACTTTTGCATTGTGCAATTCTCATACATTTTACACATACAACCTAGAAATTTATGCAGGTCAGCAACCTGTCGGACTATATAGACAATCAAAATGTGGCATTGGATATTGTACAAAGACTTATTGCACCCATAACTGGCACTGAAAGAAATATAACTATGAACAATAGGCACATGAGGATTCCTTTGGCCAATGAACTATTGAAAAAGCACAAATTGACATGTTTTGGGACACTTCGAAAAGATAAGCATGAAATTCCAGAAGAATTTCTGCCATATAAAACAGGCTCCTCTACTCTTCGTGCTTTGGGTTTAGAGGTAAAGAATTAACTCTTTCTACGTATGTTCCAAAAAAGAGTAAATCGGTTCTTGTTCTATCATCCATACATGAGGATAATCAAATCAATCCATTGTCTAAAGAGCAGCTTCAGCTCGAAATAACTTTTTGCAATTGTACAAAAGGTGATGTTTATACTGTTGATGAGTTATGTGGAACTTAGTCTGTTTCAAGAAAATGCCACTGCTGGCCTCTAATGGTATTTTTTCGGACTAATGAACATTGCAGGTATAAATGCTTTTCTTATTCATTGATGAAATAACGACCGAGTGAATATGAACCGAAGAGCTTTTCTCAAAGATTTAGCATTAAAGCTTGTAAAAGAACATGTCCTAAACAGGGCTGTGATTCTATCTCTCTTCAAAGAACTCAAAACTGGAGTAAAAAGGTTGGTAGGAATAGAAGATGAAGCAGACTTGTACCCTAAGAATTGGTTTGTAAAAATATGTGGTCACACTATGTGAGGATTGTTCAAAACGAGATTATTTGAATAATTAAACTCAGGTAGGAGAGGTGAAAAACCTATGTGTTATTCATATTTTTTAATACAGTGAAAAGTCCATAATCCGGACCTCAAAGCTACAAACTTTCTGCACATGCGTTTAATGTATAACGGACGGTATAAGCTAAGCTAAAATTATCTAATTCAGTTAATGTTGCGGATTGCTTTGTTTCTTAATCTTCGAATTGGATGCGGCTTATTATTTTTTGCAGACTGTTAGAGCAATTTTATAAAAGTAAGCTTGAAATTTCGATTATGTAAAAAAGAATTTCTGATTCTGGAGTTGCCAAAGGATCTACAAAGCAAAAGCCTGTTTCGATGTCCATCATACAAAAAGTGGAATTGCTGCAAAAAATGGATAAAGGCATATCCTTTGTTTCTCTAACCATTCCGAAATCTGTTTATCAATTTCACGCTTCTCTGCGAGGGGGAGGGCGTCACAATGAACTGGAAGTTGATCTGTCAGCACTATCCTTATCTTCAGGGCAGATGTTTTTATTTTATTCGGCTTATAATTCCTTACTAAATGTAGTATCACATCTCGATGTACTCTGTCGTTGATATGATTTAAATCAAATTCCTCGTCATTATAAATATCACGAATACACACAAACGAATCATCATAAGTTTTCTGGTTGCAATTTTCTAATTTCAGCTATGCGTAATGTATGCTTTACGCATGCGCGCGTTGAAAGAAATGTTTCCGAACGTAAACAAAAGAATATTATGTTTTTTTTTTTGTAAATTTTACACCCTTTAGATCATAATTGCTCTTTATTTCATAAATTACGGTTTCATATTTTTAATTTTATAATTTCTGCATGCCATCTTACCAGATTTAAATTGATGATCTATAATCTGGAAAAACTGATGATCCGGAATCACCGAAGTCCCGACGAATCTGGATTAAAGACTTTTGACTGTATTCGTATTTAGAATCTATTCTTTGATATGAATAATTGTATGACATTATATTGAGTTTTAAGGAAAAAAGCTAGTAAGAATGCACCCTTTTCATTTTCCTCTAGTGCTTTATGAAGCCACTCTTTATAATAAACACTTACGTTTAAAAATATGCACATATGAAAACTGATTTTTCAAATATGAGAATTCATACATGTATCTTATATAAGTTAGTAATTTTGCATAAATTTCGATTTTTATGGCTTACTTTAGGGAACTAGTATGGAAATGTTAATATAACTTAAAGTAAGATTATCTCAAATTAAAACTGGAAAAAAGGTTTAACAAAATTCCAAAGCTATTAGTCATTTATACATTCATTTAAAACAAAGAAAATGCATTTATTTATACGTCGGGGAGGTGAACTTCGAAAAACAAACACTGGGGTAAAATTTGTCCTGCGCGTATACTAACGCAGCACAGTGATGCAAGTATGTTGAAGGGTTAAATGATGATTTCTGTCAGCATTCATTTGTTTTCAAATAGAAACTTAAAAACTACTTCAGCAATGTGAATAACACATTCTTCCCCAAACACAATATTAACAGGGGGAAAAAAAAAAAAAAAAAAAAACAAAAAAAAAAAAAAAAAAAAAAAAAAAAAAAAAAAAAAAAAAAACTTACTAAGGTATTTAAAAAAAACCACCTATGTAGAAATTGCCAAATTTTCAGAATGAGCCAAATTCTGACAATCATGTGCATAACAATTGGGCAACCATGCTCCTAACTTTTCTTCAGTCATGAAATGTTGCCATTTTCGTGTATGTCCTCTTGGTTGAATTCCAACTTAAACAGTTTTTATAGATAAATCACATTTAAACTTGATTTTAAAACATGTGCTTGTGGAATGTCCCACCAATGGAAGAAGACAGGATAACTTTTTTTGCATTAATAGAGCATTTTGTCACAAAATCGGTAAAGAACTGAATTATGACAAACCATGTTTTTAATGTAATCACCACTATATTTCTACCAGAATACCAGGAATAAAAATCTGCTTGTAAGTAGATTTATTTATTGATTTTTTTTAATTAATACCTAATTAGAATATAAAACATATATGTGTGTAATAAGCAAATTTTTGCAACTGATCGAAGCCATCATTCTTTTACATCTGTAGAAAATCGCCAGAAGTATTGATCTAAAGGGCAATTAGACACAGGCTCCTATTCCTCAGTCTCCCCCCAACCCAAAGATAAGGGAACAATCTCTTTTTAACCTCGAAGTCTGCAACTTACAAAACGACCTCTTTTTAGGGCCCAAAAGCACTACTAGTCTAAAAAAAATCTTTGTACTGTTTCGCTTTTCATTCGAGTCTGTTGCAATTTGGCAAAACATGACATATTATCTTTCAATCTGTTATTGTAAATTAATTTGTCTGTATAACAATCTAATCTATTTAAAAGCAATAAATGCAGTCCTAGGTACAGTCTAAACAGTCTAGATGTATATTTATCTAGCATCTCATGAAACGTTTCACCATTCTACCTGCACCATTTCTAGTGGAAATCTCTACAGATATACCATCTTAAAATATAAAAGAGACTTTATGGGTAAAATTTAAAATCTGAAGAACCCTTTCAGACCTTTTTTTGAGGGAGGGGCTAATTTTAAAATTAACATAACTTTACCATAAATATCACTGTATTTCCATTTAAATTTAAAATTATGATATCAGTAATTATTGCTGAAAAAGAATCCAAATCTAGCTTTTCTAAGATAACAGATTATAACTAAATTGGAGAAATTTTGATCAAATTTAAATATAAGAACTTATTCAATTGCACTACACTTGATATTAGTAACATTTAAAAAAAAGAAATTAAAAAACAATTTACAGGGTAATGTATTAAATCTTTTACTTTCAAATTAACTTTATCTGAAAGAAAACATTTCTTTTTATTCAACTTACTTCAACCTTCCGTTCTGCAATAGCTACTTGTTCCCTCTGAGCATGAGTAAAATCACTCAACATCTTTGACACTTGTTTTCGGTCTTCAAGTTCTTCGCTTAGACGATTATTGTAGTCTGCTAATATTGCACATGCTTCATCCACTTGTTTTGTTAATTTTTCAGCAGCTTCTCTACCTAATTATTATTAAAAGTGAATAAAATTTAACTAAATTTTTTTAAAAGAATTAGATTAAGTGACAATAAGTAAAACAGGAAATATTTTTCTAATCCATATTTTTATACAAACAGAAATACACTTTTTCGTTTAAAAACAGAAAACTATCAACAATTTTAGTCACTTTTTTATTATAATTTATCTGTGAAAATTTTCTCCCACTAAATGTTTTCAGATTCATTTTAAAAACTTCTAGGTTTCTCTCTTTCTCTGTACTAAATTAAAAATCATGTCTCATACATCTTTGACTAATATAATGTGGATTACATAGTTTAATAAGCAGCAACAGCAAAAAATGCTATTCTACTTATATATTTAACATAGTATATTAGTAGGCAGTATGAAGTCAATATAAATGAAAATGCACAAATACGTTCCCCCCCCCTTAAAAAAAAACACTGATTTTGAAAAGTTCCAAACTAATGTTAAAAGTAATAGGTCTCCCTAGTTTAAATTTGAACACAATCCCCTTCAAAACAATCCCACTTCAGAGCTTGCAAAGCAATCTGACTATTTTTTATATTCCTGACAAAATAAACATATAAAATTTAAAAAAAAATTCCTTTACTTGAAGATTAAATAATATGAATTTTTTCACTGATGTTTTTTCACAGTATTCATGTAGCAATTTTTCAGCTTCAATTACATTTTGAAAAATATGATAGAAAAATTACAAGAGGCCAAAAAAGTTCAATATGCAGGGTGTAAAATAATTATTCAGTTGTTTTCTGTCGAATGTACTTATTTTTTAGGAATGTATTTACTGTCATCATACAACAGTTTTATCTTTTTTATAAATTTTTAAGATTCAAAAATTTATTGGAATTATATATTTATTCATAGATTTTGGTACTTGCACTTGATTTACATATGCCCTCAGAATTTAAATGATATTGTAGATTAGTTTGCAGCAATAATTAATCATTTATTTGTAATTCAATATCCTTTAAAATTTAATAAAACTTTAAATTTGCTTTTTACAAATAGAGAATGCTTGTTAAATTCAAATATATATAATATATATATATCTATATATATACAGTCAAAAGTCTTTAATCCGGACTCGTTGGGACTTCGGCGCGATTCCGGATATTAGATCATCAGTTTAAATCTGGTAAGATGGCATGCAGAAATGAAAAAAATATAAAATTAAAAATATGAAATCATAATTTATGAAATAAAGAGCAATTATGATCTAAAGGGTATCAAAATTTACCAAAAAAAAAGCTTTATATTTATTTATTTATTTACTTTATTAAACATTTCTTTCAATGCGCACATGCGTAAAGCATACATTACGCATAGTCGAAATTAGAAAATTGCAACCAGAAAACTATTTGTGTATTCGTGATATTTATAATGACGAGGAAATTGATCTAAATTATATCAGAATACATCGAGATGAAACACTACATTTAGTGAGGAATTATAAGCCGAATAAAATAAAAACATCTGCCCTGAAGATGAGGATAGTGCTGACAGATCAACTCTAAGTTCATTGCGCGTCACGACGTTCCCCCCCCCTTCCGCAGAGCAGCGTGAAATTGATAAACAGATTTCAGAATGGTTAGAGAAACAAATCACCGCTCTGTCACTTTCTTCATGTCTTTATTCATTTTTTGCAGCAATTCCACTTTTTGTTTAATGGACATCGAAACATGCTTTTGCTTTGTAGATCCTTTGGCAGCTCCAGCAGTGGAAATTCTATTTCACATAATCGAAAGTTCAAGCTTACTTTTATAAAATTGCTCTAAGAATCTGCAAAAAATAATAAGCCGGATCCAATTCGAAGATTAAGGAACAACGGAATCTGCAACATTAACTGAAATAGAGATAATTAGATAATTTTAGCTTAGCTTATACTATCCGTTATACATTAAACGCGCACGTGTAAACGTATTATGCGCATGCGTAAAGGTATTACGCGCATGCGCAGAAAGTTTGTAGCTTTGAGGTCCGGATTATAGATTATTCCGGATTAACGACTTTTGACTGTATATATATATACAAACACACACATATTTCAAAAAGCCACTACATTGTAAGCCATTATGCATACTACTACATTATGAGGATTGTGTGCAGAACATGAAATGATGGCAAAATGGAGTGCACGAAAAAGCAAAAACTTTATTAAGGTTCGAAGACAAAAGCAAAAACATTTGTTCTTCACAAGATAAAATAATCGGAAAATGTATCGTTTACCGAGCAATTCCCCCCCCTTTTTTGGAGAACTAATATTTCGCAGTATTATTTTGAGAACAGCCTATTAAATTGCTCGCAGGTGCAGAAATTATTTTTCTCACACCTATTCTTACATATATACTGGAAGTAGTAACTGCATCTTCATTTACTTAACGTATTTTATAACTTTCAATAGAGGCTTTTACCTTGACTCTACTCTAGAAAAAGTACTTTTCCTTAAAAAAAAAAAAAACAAAAAAAATGCCATCATATGGATATATGTGGGAAAGGCAACGACCATAGTTGATAACACACATTTATTACTATTTACAAATATAGATTACATTAGGATTACAATTAATGAAAATGGTATACGAGCGATCGAGCGACGTCTGCTCCGCTCGCCAGCTAATCCTCGTCTTCTTCCGAAGGCGGGAAACACATGCTGATGCAATGCATACGTCACACAGTAGGGGATTAGGGAATATCATGACATAACGTTTCCCACATTCGGCCATCATGACCGGACAGGCGACCTCGCCTGAAGCAACATAGTATATCATCAAATTAAAAAAAAATTATTATAGCATAGTAACATTGGTATAAAAAAAAAAAAAAATAATCTGTAGATACAAAGCTGAGGATACTTACACAAATGGAGCAAAAAAATAGTTTAAACACACCACAGCAGTTAACTAAAAATAAAAAGAACATTAGTATGACAAAATGAATTAAAAAGTTGATATGAGGAAAAAAATTATTAGAAAGTTCTCAGGTGTCATCTGTCCAAACACAGGAGGACCTATAATGCTGACAGTTTAATAAAAATTAAGTGATACGTTCAATATTGTTGGACCAGGGTTTCATGTATTCAGCACAAGTAGATGTTTTGGATGGTCCGTCGAAAAATGCACACTTTTCCACATCATATGTGTCATTTTGTTTGAGCCTGGTGACTTTATAAGGTCCGAGAAATTTCTGTTTGAGTTTTAGACCAGGGCCAAACTGAGTTCGTTTGATAGCCACGAGGTCATGAAGTTGAAATTTTTGTGCCTGTTTTCGTCGCAAATTATAAGTACGGCGATTTTCGTCTTGCACTTTAGAGATTTGCTGTTTTGCGTCCTTACGGAGATCGTCACGTTGCTGAATGAATGCAGATTTGATCTCCTCGTCGATTAGAGCAGCGATGTTTATGTCGTTTTGCGATTTCATTTTAGTCCCAAAGAGAAGTTCAAAGGGAGTAGAATTGATGCTACGTTGAAAAGTTGAATTAATAATTTGTTGCACGGCGGGGGGAACATGGCGGTACCATTGCTCAGGGTTGGTTATGGAGAGTTTAGAAAGGACAGCAATAATAATGGAGTTCAAACGCTCAACTTGACCGTTCGATCGTGGGAGGCCAGCTGTAATAAGAACGTGCTTTATTCTCTGTGTGTCACAATAGTTTGCAAATGCAGTGGATTTGAATGCAGGGCCTCGATCAGAGATAATCCGTGAAGGATTTCCGAAGACTGATCTTTGAGATTCCAGCCGACTGATAACTTCATCTGCGTCTGTAGACTTTGTCGGATAAAGCCACACGAATTTAGTAAACGAGTCTATAACTGCCAAAATATGTTTGTATTTCTTTGATGTGGTGGCAAGGGGACCTAGGTGGTCGATATGGTACGTGTGCAAGGGTGCGTCGTCTTTGTCAATGGGGTGCAGTAAGTCCGTCTTGTTTGCCACGCTTTCGATTATTGAGGATGCATGGGATGCAGTTATGGATACACCGCTCAATTTTTTCTTTCAGATTTGGGATAAAATATTCGTTGTTTTAAAAGTTCTTGAGTGCGGATTACGGCGAAGTGGCCTCGTTCGTGAGCTGTTTTAATGACATTTGCCTGCATATCCTCAGGCACCACAAGTAAGTCAATGCCGTTGACGTTTTTGTACAGGAGATTGTTCTTAACGAGAAAGTTATCATACGAAGGCGTCGTTTGAAGGAGTGCTTTAGTGCTTTAATAGCCGTAATATGCTCGTCGGTTTCTTGTGCTTTGCGAAATTGGAGAAGGACACTGTCTTGGATAGTCATGCAACATGGACTGCGACTGAGGGCATCCACGTGAGCCATCTTTGAGCCGGTACGGTGCTCAATTTCGTAGTCAAAATCTTGGAGATATAAAACCCATCGGGCTATTCTCGAATTGAGTTCCTTTTTATTTAAAGTTTGCACAAAAGCGTTGCAGTCAGTGATAATTTTAAAATGTGAACCAAGGACGTAAATACGGAACTTTTTTAAAGCTTCAACAATTGCAAGGACTTCGAGTTCATAACTGGTGTATTTACGCTCATTGTCCGATGTTTTCTTTGACATGTAGTAGACAGGGTGAAAGGTGTGAAAGCTGTTATCGTTCATAGATTTTTGTAGTAGGACTGCCCCCAAGCCATCAATGGATGCGTCGGTATGAATTTCGATAGGACTCTTTTGATTAAAAATACTTAAAACTGGTTGTTGAGAAAGCAAATATTTTAATCTGTGAAATGCGGCTTTCTGATCAGCATGAAATTGAAAGGGGGTGTCCTTACGAAGGAGATCACTAAGGGGTTTTGCAATGCTAGAATATGAGGGGATGAATTTCCTAAAATATCCCGTGAGACCGAGAAAGAAAGCGTTGGACGTCTTTCGTACTCTTAGGTTCGGGGTAGTTAATTAATTACAGATTTTGTTTTCGAAGGGGAAGGAAAAAGTTTACCACCTTCAACGATATGTCCAAGAAATTCGATTTTTTTGTGA